ATCTTCAACCAAGCCTGGTTGAGATCCCTTTTTCATGAAGCAAACTGGCTCTCGGTTTACTTCCTAGGCGAAGGACACCAGAGTGTCTCTTTGCACCTCCAAATATACCAGAACAGACTTTTGATGGTCACCTCAAGATAGGGTCCCTCCCCAGCTGTTTACCCTTCCTGTTAACTTTCTTCTCAAGTCTCTGCCAGCTCTTCACTATCATTTGCCTTAGAATGCTAACAGACTCCTATTGTAGGATATACAATACACAATAGACCCCCTGGAGATAAGTGTCTCCCATCCCATCTGGAGAAGTTTATCTCAAGACATGTTACCTCTGAATGACCTGCTTGTAACCACAGAGATGACAATTTTTAGTATATACTCCTCACATATTCTCCGTACATGCATCTCACAATGGTCATGATGACCAGTGTGACACAGGCTTTTATTAGAGACCTTGCATGACATTATTTTGGGGAACCCAGGGGGATCTCTGTACCCCTATAAACCTCAGGGACCTCTGCCAGCCCTGGCAGCTCTGGCATCCCGAGGTTCTTGGGTCAAACCATTTTCTTATTCAAATGATATTATTTTATACTTTTGAGCTAAGAGAAAAGATGATACAAGGTGGCAAGGCAATGTGGAGTCAGATCCTACTTTCCAAACATATGGACCAAGGTTTTCAAATGATTAGTGATTTTCAGTCCCACAGGGTTTTTCATACCACAGGTTTTCTGATGCCCACCATAGAGCCACCTTACAGGAATGGAATTTTCAAACAGTGATGAAAACCAACAATCTGAAAAGCAGGCTCCTTTAAGGCATCTCAAGTTGAGCACCCAAAAAGTAAGGCCCTAATAATTTTTGAAAAACCTTAGTCAGAATTTTTATAGCTTGACATTGTCTCTTTAATGGTCTGGCTTAAACTGACAAGAGGCAGAAATTAAAAGCTAAAGCTGAAATGTTATTCTGCTCAGTTTCCATGATGCCCAGGTAAATATAGCTTGTATTAGGACAGACCCTAATGTAATGCCTGATTCCAGTTTCAATTCTAATTGATTCCAGGGCAACATACAGCCCATGTTAGGTGAAATCAACCATTGTTCAGACACTCCTAAAAATGAAACCTAAAGCACAACGGGGCAGGATGAAAGATGGTATTTATTGCCAGCTGAGTTTTCTGGGTTTTGTCCGGCTAACACTGGCTAATGCAGACGTATAGCATGAATTGTAACAAACCCGTGGCCAACAGATCTTTGTAGGTGTGAGTAAGATGCTCACAAAAGCCACTCAGAACTTCATGGCAGCTGCCAAAACACAATCAGGACTTCTGTTTCAAAAGCCAATGCCCCACAACACTGGAATTAAAGGAGACTTTTCACTAGCTTTAGCATGATTGGACCTGATTTTCAGAAGAGCTCAATACCCACAACTTCAATTTAAGTCAACAGGATCTGTACATATCTGATAAATAATAATAATAATCAGGCCCCACAGTCTTATGACACACCATTGATCATTGAAATTCCAACCAAAAGAAGACAAGTGATACAGATATACAGTAGACAAGTTATTACAATACATCCTCAGCATTCATACGGGAGGCAGTCTGGCAAATGCAAATGGTCTTTGCCTCAGTTCCTTAAAGTTGTTATAGCAAGGGTTTGCATTTCAACAAGGGTCAGGGAAAGGAGAAGGACTGTTTTTATTTTTGGACACCACAGTTATTTAATCCATCAGCTAGTATATATTCCACTTCTGAAATGCAATTTAGATTTCCCCTTGGAGAAAAGGAAATTCAATTTACTTCTAGATGTTTGTTTTAAAGAAACCACATCTGCTTAAGTACATGAAGAGCCATTTTTTATTTTTGCTCAGTTGTGACAATCCTGTTCTCTAGCCTCATAAAAAGAGCAAAGAAATTACTAGTCCTATTTACAGAATGCATTCAAAATTCCTGTTAGTTATTTGTAGATTTGGACAATTTAAATTTAGCCATTTTTATATCACATGAGAATTGCAATCATTTTCTCCAAGAATCCAAGGTTAAAACTCATTGCCATCTCAGTGAGCCTCAGCTAGATTCAAAGTTCCAATCTAACAGCACAGCCTGGGAGGAAACAGGAAGGAGAAGAAACTTTGGGTAGTTTTTGACTGTGGCTGGCTGGTTCAGGCTTAGTAATGGTCTATGGGTCATTTCACCTCTAAGTCGCCGGTTTGAAGCCAGCCAAAGACACAAAGTGTTATCTCATCGCAGTTTGGTAGCCTTGAGTTGATTGCCTCAGAGCAGTTCCTTTTTGGACATTAGGCCACATCACCTTTAGCAGTACACTTCTTGCCACAGATACCAAGGAATGAAAAGACTCACCCCTGGAGGTAGTCCCTATAAGCAGAGTAGAGTTACACTGCTCAAGCAATGAAGGGTGTGTGTAGAAATTTTTACTGATACTGTTGTATGACCATGGGGAAGGACAGCACATTTGGGTCCCTTGTTGTCAGACAGATTTCAGAATTATTCTTCTGGCTTTCGGAAGCATTTAAGCTGCATCAAAATGCTTAAACTTGAGGAGGCACACCCAGCTGGCACTCTGAAAGACCTGCTAGGGCAGCGGTGGGCAACCTGCGGGCGTCCATCAGGGTAATCTGCTGGTGGGCCTCCAGACAGTTTGTTTACATTGGCATGGCTGCCCGCAGCTCTCAGTGGCCACCGTTCACTGTTCCCGGCCAATGGGAGCTGCGGGAAGCAGCGGCCAGCACTTCCTTGCAGCCTGCGCCGCTTCCCACAGCTCCCTTTGGCCAGGAATGGCAAACCGCGGCCACTGGGAGCTGCAGGCAGCCGTGCCTGTGGACAGTCAGTGTAAACAAACTGTCTCACGGTCCGCCAGTGGATTACACTGATGGGCCGCAGGTTGTCCACAACTGTGCTAGGGTTTTAACTCTCCCCCGCCTCCAAAAAAATTACACCCCCCCCACAACTTTTATTCCTATTGAGCAACACCTCCTCCTAGAAACTCCACTGAGGTCAGGGTCATTACTCCAAAGGACATGAAACAACCTATTTATGCTCTGTCACAGGAAAGATCAGCAGAAATTCCGACTCTCATGGAGCTTCCTGAGCCACTTGTCATTTTGCCATGTCACTTCCAGGGGAGGTGCCAATTTGACCCTAAAACCAGATATTTTACATATGGCAGTGGCAACCGATTCAATTCAGCTCCCACATAGCTTGATTCATTCATTCAAAGACCTACAGCCCAATAACATTCCTTTGTTCTTTTAATCGCACCTCTACAATAAAAATTATTTCATAAATAAAAATATCTTGGTAATAAAGATGCTTTATTAGTAAACACAACTGGCAATTAATCCATGGTTGTTTCCCCCCACCCCTCCTTCTCACTGCTGGCCTCTTCCTCTACTTCCATTGCAAAGACATTTAGTGAGCAACAGGTTAATGTCAGTAGTGAGATCAAACAATGCAATTATTAGGATTTAATTATTAATAGCATTTTGGTTGTTCAAAATTTAGAGGTAAAATCTCAGAGTTAATATGATATTGAAGAATCTTTTTTTAAAAAACAGCAGATTTTAAGACAGACAACTAACTGGAATAAATGGCAAGAAAAAATTCTGTTGAGAGCCAGCTTCATAGTCAAAAAAAGAGGCAAGCAATTAAAGATTTAAGGCATAAACTGGTATATGATCCTGAGTGAACTGGAAAATTTAGAGCAAGTATCACTCATTTTAATGAGCTGCCAGAGATGAATTTAACCAAAGAGGATCATCTTTCTTGGAAATTTATTATGAACATCTTGTTACCATATCTTTCTCGTAATGGCCCAGCATCGTTAGAGAAAACATCCTTTATATGTAAATTTTCTTCTGGGTATGTTTTGAAAACAAACAAACAAAAAGATAAGGAATGTTGAGGGGAAGGAGCAGAGTAAGCATTTTTGTCACAGAGGTTTGTAAGAAACACAGGGAATAAATAACTTGACAGAATTTGTCTTTTATTCACAGGCCAACATTTTCAGAAGCCGCCAGTGATTTTGGTTGTCTCAATTTGAGAGATCTTAAAGGGGCCCAATTTTCAGAGGCGCTGAGCACCCACAACTCCCATTGGCTTTACTGAAAAATTGCGGGTGCTCAGCATCTCTGAAAATCAAGCAAGATGTTTCTAAGTTCGACTACCAAAAACTGAGGCACTTAATATCATTGGCCACTTCTGAAGATTTTGATCACAACCCTTTGTACTGGAGGGAGGGGCCCAAAACTCTGGAATGCTGTTCCCTTCAACATATGCCAAAATTCATTGATGACATCCTTCTCTCCAGGCTTAAGGCCTCCCTGTTTCAATATGAATTTTCATGGAGCGGGCTTGACTTTATGTATTCATTGAAAAGCATGACCCAGTGGGTTTAGCACAGAACTGGGAGCCAAGAACTTCAGAGTTCAAATGCTGGCTCTGACAACATCTCCCGGTGGCAAGTTGCAACCTCTCTGCCCCAACTCTTCCTGTAAAATGGGGATAACTATTCTTACTTACCCTGTTACGTGATAGGGCTGCTATGAGGGTTGGATAATGTTGTAAAGTGACTTATAACTATGTCAGGTGAGGAAAGTTAAATATGAAGCAGTTATGTCAACCTAACCAAAGTCAGGCTAAGAGAGGCTGCTGGGAAAGCCTCTGACAGTAGAATGAAGGAATACTTGTTTAAGTTGCAGGGAGTAAGAAAAAAGGGGAGGCCTGCATTCCTGCGTTTTTGTACCAAATGTTCTGGGAACAGTTCGTTGAGATAGGAGGCACTGTTTTCCACTCCTTGTTTTTGTGTTATGTCTGTTCTTAACTCCTCGTCTCCTGGTTGACACCCATACCGATAAGAAAGTTAGTGAAGCATTGCAATTTGCTAAAAGTTATCTACAATAAGTGGGCAGAAGTGCATGCATAATAGAGAAAGAGGATTTTAACTAACATAGGGGAGGGGTGGGCTGCTTTATGAATAAATCTATGACACAGTGGAACTGTCTATAAAAACCTATGAGTTTTACTTAGAGGCTGCTGGTTCTCTTTGGAGACGGGCTGCTCTCTGTTGTTGTGTGCACTCTTCAATAAAGAGCTTTGTGTTCGGACCTTGCTGGTGTTGCCTGTCTCTCTCCGGTCAGACAACGAACCGTGCCGTCTGGGGGTTCGAGTCCTCGACAACTATAAGGTAGGGACCTGCCTGTTGTGGATAACAGAGTAATCCATTTGTTTGGTGTCACAGTAGGATAGCTTTCAGTATCCATAAATCTGAAAGATGGTGCAACTGACTTCTCAGTATATGAACCCTCATTCACAAGTATCCCAATACAGCTCCTGTTCTGTTATTTCTCTCTCATTTGCTCCATTTAGGAAATGAGCCCAGTGTAAGTGTACACAATTTAACTCTTATTTCCTGGCCCAGCTGCTCTTCTACATTACTACCCACTACAGGTAATTTCATTGGCACTAGCAGTAGAATGAATCTAAATGCATTTTACATCTCTCTTATCTGGCTCGGTTTCTTCTATCTGAGCTTCCACTTCCCCTAAATGAATGATCTGCCAACTAAAGCTCTGAGCATTGATATTCTTTGCTGGATGAACAAGCTGACATGGGAGCCTCTGTAATGCAGCAATTGTGTAACACTAAGACAGTGAGAGTTCTCCCTCAACTCTCTTGTCTCAGGGGTTCCTCTGTGTTAGGGGGCTTATTCCTTCACCCGCTTACTTCCCTGGTTCTTCTTGAATGAACAGAGAGTAACAATACCCGAAGTCCAAAGGTGCAAACAATTAGATGTTTATTGGGGTGAACTTCCAGCAAGCAGTGATTCCAATTTCCTTCCTTAGTGTCCCCTTTCCCAGCTCTGACACCACAGAACCTTGCCTGTGTCCCTGTTCCCATTCCCCCCCCCCCACCTTTACTTCCTGATTGACTGCAGACTATATAGTAAAACTTGAGTTCTGCTTAGCTATACCTTAACCAATTATTTTACTGAAATTTAACTAACCAATCTTAACATATTGTAACATGATTATCTAACCAATTATATTCCACCACCTTAATTGGTTTACACCCAACAAAATTAATTATACAGCAGACAGAAACAATCACAGAACCAGACAGAGATTATACAGACAAACAATAGGGAAATGGGGACTACAGTGATAGAACAACAAAGAAATGAGGATTTCACACCCCAGCTATTGATAAGTGAGTTCTTGCCAGACAGGATGCTATCAAACTAAGTTTCCTTTTACATCTTCTAGGCTTTTCCCTTTCTTTGGAGGTGACAGGCATTATCAGGACAGGACTGTATTCATAGCAGCCCAATAGCACCTTATTTCAACGTGACTTGTTTGGAATGTAAGGATGTGAGCGGTCGCTTCCCAGCTTATGGCTGCCTCTGTTGCTTAGCCAAAGATCTTAGCCTAAGAACAGGGCCTCAGACTGTCACAGTGAGAAAAGGCCCTATAAACAGGCAGACAGTGATTTTGATTCTTTCTTTTATACCTCTATACCTAGCTAAATGATAAGAATACACCTAAATTCTTAAAGTATAGGCCTTTGTAGACAGACCTGAATATCTATATCCTAACAATCTATTTCACTGCTGGAGCTAGGAGGATCTCTTACTGTCCTCTCCCACTTTATAATCCCCACTCCCACCTGTCCTGAGCTGATATAGTGAACCCATTCCCATTGAAGCTCATCCTTACTGTTCCTTAATTGGTAAAGCAAAATAAATAAATAATAATAGCAGCAGTGGCTACTGCTCAAGTTCTTTTGCACAAGAAGCGCCCTGGGTAAGAGGATGCCATGTGTGCCAGCATCATTTATAATTCTCTAGGACAGGTTCTGCAACTGGCGCTTAGACTCCTTCTCAGCATTCTCAACAGAGATGCTTACAACAGAAGGTAACTGGAAATGGTCTAGCCCTCACACCCATGGAGGTGGTGCCTGTAGATTAGCTGCCCCTACAGGAAATGTCACTGCCACTCTCCAGGCTGTGACCTCATCCGTGAATAAAAAATATGGGGACTCCCATCTCCACGGTTGGAAATTGGGCCTCTGTCTCATAAGCTAATTTCAAATTAGGGGGAAAAAACCAACAAGAATGCAGAAACACAAAACATTTATGACAAAATTTGCTTACTTGTCCTTGGGATCCTCAAAACCCTGAAAGAAAGAAAATGAAACATAACAGTTAGGAAACAGAATGACCTTGGATACAATGAAGAATTCTGATGGATGGCATTTCATACAGGAACTTTCACAGGGTTCATTTGTTATATCTTGATGGAGATCCTTGCCAAGCCAATACAATATTCTCTGTCTCTATGTCATTCATCAGATAGATTGGTCAGAACACAATTTTATATAAATACATGTCTTAAAATAAACATATGAAAGTTAAAGGTAAGGGAATGACTTCTGCTCCTTCAGTTGACCTTTGTCATGCATTTGCTGTGCCTTTAAGAAAAGGTTACTGATACAAGTGATGCAATATACACTTGGGTCAAAATTCAGACTGACAGGTGGGTGCAATTCCCTTGTAGTTAATGCACTGCTAGCCTGCACAATGTATGAATTTGGCTGATGTGGTCTGCCTCCAATCACAGGAAGGGCTTATATAGTTAGATATCCATTTCTTCTTCAATGCTTATTTTCATGAGTCTTTGCTCTCCCATGTCTACTTTTGAAGTCTATTCGTTTTCTTAAAGTCATTTCTCTTATTAGGGTGGGATTTTCAAAAGTGCTCAGAGCTTGTCTAACGCAGTGGAACTTAAATGGGAGTAGAATTTGGCCACCATTTTTGAAATTCCCATTCTTGGAACTTTATCATGCCAAGTATTTTGCACAAACATAGACTTTTTAACCATCAAAAACAGTGGATAAGACATTAATGGACTATTTATTGGGGATCCATTTAGTTAAGCATTACAAACAAAATCTGTTCTTTTTCAAGCCCTTCCATGCTCCCCTTAACACTAAAATGCATCTCTATGAATGGGAAGGGGGAAATTTCTTGTATTTTGGCAAGTGATTTAAAATACACTTCAGGGTCATTCAGGTTTATTAAATAAGCTATCTACACGTTCACAGGTCCAACAAGTCCTGAGAGTTGTTTGAAGGGTCCCAAGAAAAAAATATGCATTTATCTGCAATCTGAAATTTTTATTAACATACCTGATAGAGAAGAATAGCTTCATAAAATAGGTTTCACATGGACTGGACCAAAATCTGCCTTCAGATACCCAGGTGCAAGTCTCACTGAAATCAACAGGAGTTGTGCCCATGTATATGAGGGCAGAATTTGTACACTGTGTTAAAACTCTAGCAAATGTAGTGATGACAGATGTAGGATTCCATGGGGTTTTTGTGGATCTCAATGACTCCAGCTCAAATGTGTTTAGTTTACAAGTGAAATGATGGTATACTATACTCCTGGGAGAATTCTGCTCTACTGCATGCGTGCATAATTAATGAGCCCCCCATATTTTTATATTTTTGCACAGAAAAAAGCTTCTGCTGAAATGCTGCTGCAGCTCTGACTTTTGCCCACCAGGGGGTGCTGTGGCGCAAGAACAGTAGCAGCTCCCTGCCAGTGAGGGAAGAGAGAGAGCAGCCTTCTTCGTAGCGGGCCAGATCAGGAGACAGGGCTTATGGGGAGACAGACAACGTGGGGTGCTGGGAGGTCAGACAGGGGCTCAAAAGGGCTAGTGGGGGAGGACAGACCGGGGCAGGGGCTGAATGGGAGTGGAGGCGCAGGGCCACAGGGGGGAAGGAGTTGCAGGCCACATGATGATGGGGGAGGGGGTGCAGAGCTACATGGGGACAGGGAAGTGGTTGAATGGGGCACAGAGTCACATGAGGACAGGGGAGTGGTTGGGTGGGGGGCACAGAGACACATAGGGACGGGGGAAGGGGTGCAGGGACATATAGGGATAGGGGAGTGGCTGGGTGGGGCCACAGAGATACATGGGGACAGAGGGAGGGGATGCAGGGACACATGGGGACAGGAGAGTGGCTGGGTGGAGGCACAGAGACACATAGGGACAGGAGAGGGGGATGCAGGGCCACATGGGGATGGGGGTGTCTGAGTGGGGATAGAGGGACACATGTGGACAGAGAGTGCAAGGACACATGGGGGTGCAGGAACATGGGGACAGGGCCAGATGTGCCTGACTGAATGGGAGAGGCTAGGGGTCAGCCAGGGTCTGGATGGGGGAAGCTCCCTAACAATCTCTCCCTGTCTCCCGCCAAAAAACCTGTTCTTCCATACTTTTCCCATCCATACCCAACAACCCTCCAAGTTCACACCCAGTGTCCTTCCCAGCAATTTACTTCCCTCTCCCTTAGCTCCTCCATTACCCCTGGCTCCCCCAAGCCTTTGCACTGCTTCTGAGGGGGTGCAGGAAATACGGTTCTGTGTAGTTTAAATGAATTATTATTCAGAGGTCTGTATTAATATGCCTAGTAAGAAATCCCTTTGTCAAAAAACAATTCCTGAATCTTTTTTGTCATCTGTATTGTTACAGACATACTTGCTGACAGGTATTTTGAAATAAATGACCAAAAGTAATTGAAACTGGTGTGATGATATTGTGTTATTTTGACAAATAACATATGCAGAATTTTAAAATATTGTGAGCAGAATTTTTAATTTTTTGTTGCAGAATTCCCCCAGGAATAATGCTAGCATTGCAATCTTAGCCTGGGTTCTTGAGATTTAATGTGGATCCTTTCCATACACAGCCTGCTGGCCAAATCCTGCCCACAACTGCCCTTGTTCAATGACACTGGAGACAATGGCATTGAACAGTTGTAAATGAGGGCAAAATCTGGCCCTGCAACTGGAAATAAGTTATCAATCTGGTGATGATGTGAGAGGCAGAACAAAATCCTGCACATTTTCCCTAAGCTGTGTAGGCTTTGCAGGACGAACAAGAGAAAACATATTTTTGTCACTGAAATCAACAGGTCTGTTTGTCTGAATACACAGAGCAGGTACTTTGAACAAGGAAGTGCCATTTTTAAAGTCGCTTTTCAGACTAAACCCACACTTTAAAATTGAAACTGCAACTCAAACACTGCCATTCAGGCATGCAGAAAGAGGAACACTCCTGTCCCATTCTCTTCATTACTACCTATTAGCAAACTAATGCTGAATGGGAAGGAAGCATGTTTTAGCATGCCCAACAAACTTACTTAGCATGCCCAAGAAAATTTTGCATGTCCAGGTAACTGAGCCAAAGAATACTACAAGTGCTTTTGGTTTAAGGTTAAAGAGGGACTGAAACATCACTCAGATATTTGTTTCACTTAAATTGCTTTACAGCTGTCAAAAGAGTTGATTTTTTTTTCACCTGTATGCAATTTTACAAGATGGTGTCAGAAATAAAAGCCCACTGATTAACCATGTTGACAAAGTGCTCATAATTTTTCTGGTATCACAGCTAGTTGCACTGACAAAAGAAATCATCTGAACTTGAATAGCTATCACCCAACAAATGGGGCAGGGGTGAACCTTAATGTAAAAAACACAGACAGTGCTTGCTTGTTAAACATAAAGTCCACATTTTCAGACATGGATTCCTGGGAGTTAGGGAACTAAACCCATACACAGGAGCCCAAATTAGTGGCCTGATTTTCAATGGCAGTGGAATATCCACTGTTCCTACTGACTCTACATGATGACACTACATACTGATACTGAACTCCTAAATTTCAGGCACCCAAGTTTGAAAATGTAGACCAACTGGGTCAATTTTCAAAAGGACACAGCAGTGATTCTCAGAAAAACAGGTGAACACTTTATAATGGGCAAACTTTCACAGGTCAACAGAAATCTGACAATCATGCCTAACTGCCAATTTGAGTGTGCAATTACCTGGTTTGCACAAGCAAACTTTGATTTTTTTTCTGGCAAGCCCATTTAAAACGTTAAAAAATAATATTGGGTTAATTTAGATTCTTGTTTAAACACTAAAACTTGCTTGAAACACTGGAAATGATGAATAAGAGACTTCTATGCTAGTAGTTCAACTTACGCTGGATTCTCAAAATGAAAGACTCAAAAATGCATACATCAGATATAGCAAAAATATATTACTCAGTTTTTCTTCTCATCTAATGAGGTTAAATATTTAAGAGTGACTTGGATTTTAATTGAAGGGAAGCAGCTTAAAATTATATTTAGTGGGAACCTCTTTAGCTAAGTAAATTAAATTATTCACTTCAAATACTCCCATTTTGAATGAATGATGGCTTCTTCATATAGCGAAGCTCACACAACGGAATTATTATGCAAGAGAACCTGCAAGCTGATTTTTCGTTCAATGCAACTTCTAAAAGGCTAAGATATTATTAAAGGAAATACTTCTTATTTGCACAGAAGCACTTCACTGGGATACTGAAAACATTGCTCAGGGATTCAATTGAGACAATCTTAGGGTACTTCCCCATAACATTTCCTCAAGTAGACCCTCTCTAAGCAATTGGCAGAAGGGCATAATCAGTGTTTAGAATTTTCCACATACTTCAGGGCTCTATTCTGATCTCAGTGAGCATGTGGATTTTCTGCATGATGTTTGTTAGTGGAAATGACATGCCTTTTGGTGCTTTTATATATAGAGGCAGAATGTATGTTCATTAAAGATACATGGCCAGGTCCTCAGCTAGTGTAAGCGAGGGTAGCTCCATTGACTTGGATGATAGTGAATGGAGCAATGCTAACTTGCACCAGTTCATGAAGTGGTCCTTATTTGCATCTAAGACCTTTGCTAATTCGACATCTAATTATTATTAAAAACATATGTCACTCATGTGAAAATTCAAAGTACAGGGAAGAAAACCAATCCTCACTGTGTATCTAATACAGCAAAGTGCTGGGAAACTATCTGAAGGCTGCTGATCTCCTTCAACTTGACTTTAATACAACTGCTGCCCGGCACTTTGCAATATTGGGTCTTATATGCCCAAAATACAGACCTTGGTGCTAACCAATAAATGCAATAGACTAATTGATTGAAGGCTCCTCAGAGCGGGAATTGTCATACATTTAAACATCATTGATCACACCATTGGCATTCAGTCAGTAATATTTATTCATAAGCTTTTCCGCATGGTTATTGGCATAGTGTCAGGTCATCTCAGGAATATGTGTAATAATATTCGTAATCCTTTACACCACAGTATTGCTCAAAGGCGCTGTTCAAGAACCGGGCTCCACTGTGCTAGGAGCCATAGGAAACATAAGTAGACACAGTCCCTGCTCTGGAGGGCTTATGATACACTGAATATGACCAATAACAAGGATACCGTATATGAGATCACCTGGGTGTGGAGCCCAGTTATTGCACAACTTGATGGTTCCAAATGATCTGAAAATTAAAAATAATAATTGGTTTTCCCCAACTGCCACGTGAACTAACTGTCATTGTTTAGTTGATCTTCATAGGCATCACTGCGGAACATCATGGTCTTAATAAATAATAATAATAAAGTTCAGGGAGAAAAAAAAAGTCTTGTGCTTTTTTCTGAAGATGATCACACTCAAACTCTGACAGACAGACCACCAGAAGTAAGGCGTTCCTTAAACCAGTGGACTTCAAACTTTTTTTCTGGTGACCCAGTTGAAAAAAATTGTTGATGCCCGCGACCCAACAGAGCTGGGGATAGGGGGCTCAGGCTGGAACAGAGGGTTGGGGTGCAGGGGTGAGGGCTGCAGGGTGGGGTCAGGAATGAGGGGTTCAGGGTTTGGGGGGGGCTCAGGGCTGGGGCAGGGGATTGGGGCGCGGGCTTACCTCCAGCAGCTTCCAGTCAGTGGCGCAGTCGGGGTGCAGAGGCAGGCTTCCTGCCTGTCCTGGCACTGCGCCCGGAAGCGGCCAGCAGCAGGTCCAGCTCCTAGGTGGAGGCATGCAAGCAGCTCGGCGTGGCTCTTGCCCACAGGCACTGATGCCCCCAGCTCCCATTGGTCAGAAACTGGCCAATTGGAGTGCAGAGCCAGTGCTCAGGGCAGAGGCAGCATGCGGAGCCCTGTGGCCCCCCTGCCTACGAGCTGGACCTGCTGCTGGCCACTTCTGGGGCGCAGCGTGGTGTCAGAACAGGTAGGGACTACTAGTTTTTACTGGCCGGCCGACAGGGTCCCTGGCTCCTGAGCAAGGCGACCCAGTGCCTTTCATTCCATGACCCAGTACTTGGTGGCGACCCAAACTTTGAAAACCACTGCCTTAAACAACAATGCTCAGTTGAGAAGCTTAAAATATAGGAGTTCCGAGTGCTCAATACCTGTGAAAAATCCAGCCTTGTCTTATCTACATACCTTCTTTTAGGTCCTCTCCTCAAGTGTCCTTCAGCTTGGTAACTCAATTTGCTCTCTGCTTGGTGAGGTTTAAGGATCCTCTATGTAGATGTGTACACCTTTTCATTCCAGGTGCAATTCAGTGAGTGGGCCTTGTAATATTTAAAGTCCTACATGATCAGGACCCCAAATATTTGAGACAATCTCTCCCCTTAATCCTCACATGGCACTGGAGGCCTCTTGAGGCCCTCTTGCTGCTGGAACCTGGAAACCAGCTTTGTAGGTTTGCCAGAGGGTCTCCCAGTTCAGCAGCCACAATTCACACCCAGAAGGAAATTGTGGGTGCTCAGCACCTCTAAAAATCAAGCCGTAAGACAAAAACAGCATGTCAGTGGTATGACAAAGTGGTAAAATTGAATTAATGATGTGGTTTCAAAAGGATCTTTGCCTCCGTTGTCAGCACTGCTCAAGCTGCCACGGAAGGATACGGCTACACAAGTCATCTCAGGCCTGCTCTTCTGTGGTTTACTGAATAGTTATGTCAGTGATGCCCCTGGTCTTCATCAGAGCAGCACCACTCGGCTTATAAAGCACTAGCCACACTACAAAATGGAACTGATGGTAGCCTATCCATGATGCCACCCAGACCAATCTGGTGGCTGTTGGAAGGGTGACACAGCAGTGGTCACTACAAAAATCAGCAAGATAGAGTTCAAAGGAGGTGAAGGACAGATCTAAAATAAAGACAATGAAATGGATCCTGTTTAGGGTACAAATCTTCTAGCCCTGTCTAAAAATGAGTCGGAAACACATTAAGGCTTTTATTACAATGTATTCACTAAAGAAGGAATGTTGCAGTGTCTTATCTAATCTTTTGTTAAGTCTCATTTTAAATGTCCCCAGTGCTGGAGCTTCCACCACTTTCCATAGGAACTACACTATTCCATGACCCAATTGCAATAATAAAGTAATGAAATCTGACAACTGCTGTATGACTAAAATAATCCAACATATATAAATTCAGGAATATTAATCCACACCTAGCTGCACTCGCAGCACAAAGCCAAGACAATAGTTATTAACAAGGGATGGACGAGATGATTTAACAGGTCTTCTATCTGTTTGATCCAATACATTTTAAAACCTACTTTTATGTTGAATGAGTCACAACTAATTAATTTTTATTACAGTGCTTGGGGGGAATGGGAGAGAAAGACTGACTGTTGTATTGCTGTCTCTGTTCCAAAATTTTATTATCTGGATTTATATGAGTGCCTATTGCTCTAACAGTTCAAATCATTCTAATCTCCTTGCTTGCTTTATGAACTGACTGAGTTTATTTGAACTTGCCAATCGATACAGATTATTTAAAGAAAGTGATAAAACGTTTGTCAAATATATGACAAGCAGATCACTATTTCTGTTTCAAGTCAAGAGCCTTTTGAAATAACAACACCAACTTTGAGAACACTTGTTACAATAACTAAACTACTGTAAATGTAAGAAGGAAGGTGAATAATCTTACATCTGCCTTTTATCTTTTCATTCAGCTCTAAAGATGTGACAGCCTCTGAGCACAGTCTACCTCCTACTGTCCACATGGTTGGAAAGCACCACCATAACAATCGGCAGCTTCACTGCCAGCCCCAGTGTTGGATCATATTAAAGAAGTTCTGTATTAAAATCACAAATGAGTTTGATTCCCCAGAGTTTAAATTCCAGGGTATTACTAATTAAGAGGTCTCTGGTTTTTTGGTACTGTTTCTCTCCCTCTATGTGTGAAACTTGCAAGCTGCTAATTGCGTTAGTACGTTCTAAGACAGAGTCTGTTCTCAAAGCAATTCACACAGAGAGAGACTCAAAGCAATACTCTGTAACAACAGAAACAGCACCCAGAGACTCCCCGCCCTTTTGTTGTATTAACAATTGTGATTAAAATAGAGATGGAGGATGTATGTGGATGGATGCTTGGTGTGGATAATAACTGAATGATCAGGGAGGTGCCAGCCTAAGAATCCAGTGTCCATCGGCTGAAGAAGGCGTCAAGTGGAAATAAACAGAGGACCCCCGGAGGGCAGACTGGAATCCACCCAACAGCCTCAAGAATGGGAGAACCAAAGAACAAGATAACATCTGGCAGCACGGAGCTGTCAGGAATGTGCTATCTGCTGATTGATTCAGCAACAGCATGATGAAGCAATTCCCATAGACTGGCATAGGAAGAAATTCCTATAAAAATGGACTCTGGAAAGTGAGAACTTTGGGGTCTGATTCTGCAAACCAACTTCCAGGAGCATCAGATGAGCATCTGACAAGGCCCTGCTCCCTCCTCATGTCCAGGCCACCTGGCCAGTGGCTTGGCATGAGCAACTCTGAGGCTGGTAACTATGATAACAACCTTGCAGAACCTGTGTGTGTGTGTTTGTATGAATGAATGTGTGAATAAATATGAGATTGAATGGAATGTTATAGCTATAACTAACTGCTTACTATGATTCTTTCTGTATTCACAATAAATGTGGTATTTTGCCTTTTCCTCTTTAATAAGATCCTGCTGGTTTTTATTTTATTGGTATAACACCAGCAAAGATTTTAAGGAATGAGTCAGCATGAAGAACAAACTACTTTCTCATGCCCAAAAGTGTGCACCCTCAGAGCAAGGTTGAGGCATATCTGCAAGGTAGTGTAGGAAGCTTCCACTGCTCCTGCCCTGTGCTGTACCCATTTCGTGACTAGAGGGGTTTAGTTCCAATGGCGCCAACTGGCACTTTTCACAGGCAGTAAAAAGTGACGAGTTGTTCCTTAAACATCATTTAGTACCAAGTGTCCACCTTCTGGCTTGTGACTTAGATCTGGCCAACATGGTGGATAGATCTCGCCCAGCGACAGATTCATATTCTGCAGAATGAAAGTTTTCACAGAATCCCCTGCCCCCAGAACATTTCTTGCCATTATGGTTATTAAGATAACCTTCCAAATGTAGCACTGTCTTAGCCAGAAGCAACACCTCTGAGGAGTGTGAGCCTCACACATATACCAGTTTTCATGAACTTTTAATCTTGATGATGACAATTCAGGGGCCATATTTTCACATGGAACAGATCAGAGAGATGGGCCTACACTGTGCACACAGCTACCGCAACCGGGCTTGCAAATTTGGTAAATGAACTTCCAAATGGCCAAGAAACAAAGATGGAAATATCAGTAAACCTAGGAAGTGCTCTGTATCATTTCTTCCCATTCTTAATCCCCTCCCGGCACGTGATGATGACTGCAACAACAACTTTATTTCCTATTTTCAAAATGGAGTTAAAATTAAAGTGCCCAATCTTAGATATGTTGAGCCTGAAATCAAAGCAACTGAGCAACAATCAACATCTCTCATTGACTTCAACTGCAGCATCCCTGAAATGATTTTGTTGAAGGTTCAGCATCCAAGAACTGTGACATTCAAAAAATCAGAGCCCCCTTTGGAAAGTTTTGGCATTCATTGTTAACTAAGTGCCACAATTCTACCCCTGATCTTTGTACAAAGCTCCCAGTGATATCGGAGGGAGTTCTGCTGTGCATTAAGGGTAGGTAATGTATGGCCTTATTTTTGAATGCTTGGACCATAGACAATAATTAAACATGTCATTCAGTCCACATTCTAGACCGCATTTGACACCTTTGATTTAATGTCTGAAGTGACTTCTTGACTTATGGAATAGCTTAAGTTTTTGATACATTATTTACATTAATTATGTAAAGCATTTGGGGAAATGGTTTGTTCAAAAGATGCCATTCAAAACAAAATGGTCTAGAATGTTCCTATATTGTTAGAGTGATTCCAAGTTTTTCAAGTAAAAATAAGAATGTAATAAATGTAAAGTCCCCTTGACTCAAACTTATTACCATACAGACACACACACTCCAGATATCCGTTGTAGAGCTTCAGGTTCTATATGCTAATTATATGTAAAACAGTAAGTGCTGACTTTTAACTTTATTTTAAAGAATTTAATACAGGATGATTGCCAGTCTTGATCCACCAGAATAAAGTTTGACTTTCATTGTATTTAGCCTATATGAGGTATTAAACATTTTTATGGTGGTTCCAAGAAGTTCTATGCACTCTCCAGACACTAAAGAAGAAGAATATGGATCATAGATATTAAGCAAAGTTCTCTACACAGGTACAGCAACCCCACTGAAATCAAGGGAGTTGTTCTGGAGTCACTTGGAAGAGTTTTCTTACTGAATTTGAGCTACCTACAGATCTGGCTGTAAGAACAAAACAAACTAGATGTGAGATTTCCTGTGAGCTCATACACCATAGTGCTGAGCATGGTATAAAAACATATAAAGATGAGAATAGAATAGAAGGCTTAATATTTTCTCATTTCTGCAGTCAAACAAATTACAAACCAATTCTGAGCGTCTAAAAATGATGGGGAAAAATAGTGGGTATGTCTACTCTCAGCTGCCTCATTCCACACTGTAGCCAATGATTATAAAATGATTGCTTGAAAAGAGGATATTGATGAACTTGTTCAGGTCTAATGAGAACTGATTGGAGTTAGCCCCCATTTGTCTCACTCACAGGAGTAAATCCTCTTGCCTTCAGTGAGATTGCACGGGGGTAAATGAGAGGAATATTTGCCTCACTATTGTTTTTTTCATCATATCATAGTTAATAGAACAGAAATACTTGTGGGAGTAAAGTTAGGAGGGTTTGCTCCCTTGAGACTTTTTCCAACCTTGATTTCCTAAATAATGGGAGTCATTGTGAGGCAGTGTGGAGGCAAGGAATAGTGTAAATAGGCTGCCTTAGTTGCACAATATGGAGACAGTCGTTTGAGTTAACGCAGTGCATGGTACTAAGTGTCTTCTTCTTTTTTTTTTTTTTTTTTTTTTTTTTACAGCTGAATGAGCAGGCAACTATGCGAGTGCTCTTTTATTGGGATGTAAAATGCAATAAAATATTTGGTACTACATTCTGCTCTTGGGTGTCCATAGAGCTCCAAATGAAACCACATGGAGTCTCAAATGTGTTTATCTAGGCCTTTAATTGTTACATTAATAGTATCCAAAATATTTTTTCAAATTTGCTCTTATAACTTTTACACATTTATTGTCAGGTTATTTTTTAAACTGTATTTGACTGTTTCAATTTTATGTTGTAATTAGCTCAGCAGTTGTATCGTGGAGGCTTTGGGGAAACATCATCAGGTGATCCTGGCAGAAAGGGTAAAAGTCAGATATCTAAGGGTATGTCTACGCTGCAGCCCTAAGTCGACCTACGTTAGCAGCCATCACTATGTCCACACCACCCTCCTTCTGTCGGCACTGCATGTCCTCCCTAGAAACACTTCTACTGATTCAAGAAGGCCAGGGCCCTCAGCTCCATGCAGCTACACGCTGGGAGCCCAGCTGCTCCCTGGGCTCTCGGCTCCCTGCTGGGAGCTGGGCTCAGCCACCTGTGCTTCTTGCCTCCCCGCTAGTCTATCCGAACCATCCATGCCTATCAATTCCTCTTGTAACAATGTTATCCTTCCACTTGCATCCAGATGTAACACTGCGTGCTGGTGCACGTGATCTCTGTGGGCTGCACTTTCTTATTAAAGATACGGCTGGCTGCAATCGGCTGCATTTTATAGCAATTTGACAGTGGCTCCCAGAAACTCATCAAGGAGCCAGTGTGAAGCTCAGATGGGCAGTCCTGAGAGAGAGCGTAAGATTCCTTTTCTCGAAGATGTACCACACTTAGCTCTGCTACAGATTGTGTTTGTGACCTTGGCCAGGAGATTTAATTTTTACATTCCCATTTTACAGATGGGGGAACTGAGACAGAAAGATATTCCCTGACCTCCTGGGAGTGTGAGAGACTACAATCCATTCATACACCTAACACACTCCAAGATCCTAGTCTGGAAGGTGTTACAGAAAAGCAAAGTATTGTTACTATTGAGCAAGTGAAAACATCCTCAAGACACCTATGTTATAAATCCCCTTAAATTAAAAATAAAACCTGAGTGTGTAACAGTGAGGAGCACGAACTCTGTTCTTTTGTGTATATCACACACTGTGCAAACAAAATTGTGTTTCCATGGGGGAATAAATACTAGTTTATCCTGGGTCCACTACCCTGGCTTTAGAAAGAAAAAAATATCCTACGAGTAATAAAAATAGAAACCAGCTGACAGCAGATTCTTTCACAGAGTTACTCTGGATCTTTTCCAGTTCTGTGCAGTCATAATGCCGATCTTGTCCAGGTCTCTTCCACTCAGTTTGCTTTGGCTAATTAACATGAGTGAGATGACTCTAATTGCTCTACACTGTTTATGCTGGAAGAGGCATCACAAGCAACAAACACAGGCCCATCAAGGGAACAGTGCCCCAGTAAGGTTTACAGTAGAGTCTGCCAACTGACAGCAGTTTCTCACACAGGGCAGATTATTTTCTCCATTACTTTTTTTGGAGCAGGCAGGTATTTCTCATGGTGTCTGTTTCCCATCCTCCCCGGCCTTTAAATGCCAGAGGGATATAGTGCCGAGGCTGGCAAAGAGCAAAGAAAGAGGGTATGGTGGAAATTCTGTGAGGAGCTGAGGCAGTTAACATTGAGGGGGGAATGAAGCAGAGTCCTGGGGATCTGGACCCCACAGGGAGGGGTCACATGTATGACAGTGAGCCAGAAACAGAGGGGCCTTGGAAGTGGTGCAGTGTGCCCTGATTGGTGCTAGCTGGCCACCTCCCGGATGGGCTCTGTTGCTCTACTTGGCAGGAAGATCAAGAATGGAGGAGTGGGAGGAAGAAGATCATAGAATCATAGAATATCAGAGTTGGTAATCTAGTCCAACCCCCTGCTCAAAGCAGGACCAACCCCAACTAAATCATCCCAGACAGGGCTTTGTCAAGCTGGGCCTTAAAAACCTCTAAGGATGGAGATTCCACCACCTCCCTAGGTAACTCATTCCAGTGTGTCACCACCCTCCTAGTGAAATAGTTTCCCCTAATATCCAACCTAAACCTCTCCCACTGCAACTTGAGACCATTGCTCCTTGTTCTATCATCTGCCACCACTGAGAACAGCCAAGCTCCATCCTCTTTGGAACTCCCCTTCAGGTGCCTGAAGGCTGCTATCAAATCCCCCCTCACCCGTCTCTTCTGCAGACTAAATAAGCCCAGTTCCCTCAGCCTCTCCTTGTAAACCATGTTCCCCAGCCCTTGAATCATTTTTATTGCCCTCTGCTGGATTCTCTCCAATTTGTCCACATCCTTTCTGTAGCAGGGGGCCCAAAGCTGAATGCAATACTCCAGATGTGGCCTCACCAGTGCCAAATAGAGGGGAATAATCACTTCCCTCGATCTGCTGGCAGTGCTCCTACTAATGCAGCCCAATATGCCATTAGACTTCTTGGAAACAAGCACACACTGTTGACTCATATCCAGCTTCTTGTCCACTGTAATCCCCAGGTCCTTTTCTGCAGAACTGCCGCAAGCCAGTAGGTCCCCAGCCTGTAGCGGTGCATGGGATTCTTCCATCCTAAGTGCAGGACTCTACACTTGT